TTAGTTTAGAGGTCGTCTAGCTACTAACAGTTTAGTTGAAAGGTACGCTAGGTACATACAGTTTAATGTAGAGGTCGCTAGGTAGCAACAGTTTAGTGAGGGTCGCTAGGTACAACAGGTTTAGTGAGAGGTCGCTAGGTACAACAGTTTTAGTGAGAGGTCGCTAGGTGCAATAGTTTTAGTGAAGAGGTCGCTAGGTACAACAGTTTTAGTGAGTGGTCGCTAGGTACAACAGGTTTAGTGAGAGGTCGCTAGGTACAACAGGTTTAGTGAGAGGTCGCTAGGTACAACAGGTTTAGTGAGAGGTCGCTAGGTACAACAGTTTTAGTGAGAGGTTGCTAGGTACAAAAGTTTTAGTGAGAGGTCGCTAGGTGCAACAGTTTTAGTGAGCGGTCGCTAGGTGCAACAGTTTTAGTGAGCGGTCGCTAGGTACAACAGGTTTAGTGAGAGTATGCTATGTTTTGCAGTTTTTGTTTGAGAATGAGTCTTTACAGGTAGAATAGTATTGTATTAAATACTCTTGTGTATAATTAGAGACAATGTTTTCAAGCAAGCAGTTATCAATAATTGTCATTTTATTGGTTATATACTATTTTTACCGGTTTCCTTTAAAATCAACTCGGTTTACGCTTGGATTAGCCAAGTGTAAATAATCACACTTTGATGGATCAATAGTCCAGAATTTTTCAAGATGAAATAATAAAAATTTTTACGTTTGAAATGAGCTTGCCATGACCGAGATTTTGACTTTACCACCCTGAAAAAACCCTGTAGTATCCGTTTTTACCAAATACAGGATATCATTCTCTGCATGTTAAGAAAAGGAGAGAAGAAAAAGTCCTTTTAAACAAATTAATATATACAGAAACAGCTTAGAAGTATTGTGAAGTCTGTTCTCAAAAGTCAAAACGATTTTGCTTCAGAAATATGCCCCTTAAGGTAATCTATCTAGTATGTTGTTTACAAGTTAACTCGTCCTTGTTGTGGGAATACATATGACTGATCCACCACCAGGTGACCATTTTCGAGAAAATAAACACGTGCACATTACGTCATTGTGAAATTAAGCATGTTTTATCCACGTGTGTGTTTCAGTTTAATCTGATAACTTGAACAGTGTATGTGTGTGTGTAGAGTTCATACAAGACCCTCTGAGAGCCTTGTATGAAAGTTGGTTAGTCCTGGTGCTCGATTTCTGAATGATCTCTCCGGATCCGAGATTCGGAGCCTATCTTGGATTTAATTTTATTTTTTAAGCTAAAGGCAGAAGCTTTATCGTCAATGTTAAGACTATCTCGGTTGCAGGGCGAATTGATATTTGACTGATGTAGTCAAAGTAACCACTCCCTTCTATCTCCAATAGTAGCCTCAATGACGTTTAAACTGCTATTTTCTGTATCTCAAAATTCCCCCCACATACCCGTAAACGAGAATCCGGTACCTCTATTTTCTGGAATTAAGCTCTAGTTAATCTTTTCTAGACCGGATGAGAATTATAACACACTTCTCCAGGACAGGATGACAATCCATCACGAGCCAATCCTCAGCTATTATCTGGTTACCATTTTACAGCTGGGTAGACTAAAGCAAACTTAGGATAAAGTGTTTTGCTAAAGACACAACAATTAGGCACGAGCAAGGTTCGAATCCGCAACATTTAGATAAGAATCCTAGGTACTAACCACTAATCAACGTCGTTCGTACAGTCTCGTTCCAAGGTGGTCTTGATTAAGCTTGGTTAAACCTTTTTAAAATTGTGGACTTTCCCTATATTTTAATGTACTTTAGGTGACTGTAGTCGCAAATTATAAATTTGTTTAAATTAATGAATTTAATACCGATATAAACACTAATCAATAACATGCCGTGTTCCTAACTTTTGTGTCAACTACTTACAATAATTAACAGAGCAGAACGTAAGGCCTATTCGTTACTGTGAGCTTACAGACTTACTTCTTTAATAGGCCCGTTACAATATGCACAATGAGGCGCGAACAACTTGAGGTAATCTTCTTCGCAATAAAGATCGTCATCTCGCTGGAAGAATTTTTTAGTGGCCAGCTCCTGGCTGCACTTTTTACACTTGAAGTGTTCAGGGTGCCATGTCTGTTCAAGGGCCTTGACGACCTGATGAGAAAAGT